GGGCGAGCGCCGGCCGCGCTCCGCGCGCTATCTCCGTACGCACCGCACCGGAGTTTTACAACTATCTGAGCTGATCTGAGGGAAAATCAGCTCAGAGTAAGGCGGCGAACCTCCCTTGTCTGCCGCACACGCCCCGCACCTTCACCTCCGCCAACCCCGGCACACAGATACATCTGCCCGTCATCAACCCCGGCACACAGATGCACCTGTTTGTCATCAACCCCGGCACACAGATACACCTGCCCGTCATCAGCCCATGCACACCCCTCCGCAAACCCATGTACACATGCACACACACATCCATCCTCCGCCAGTCCATACACACGCACACACATCCACCCTCTGTCAGCCCATATACACACAGACCACCCCCCACCCTTCATCAGCCCATACACACAGACACACCAGCCTTTCATCAGCCCATACACACCCGTCCACTCTCCGTCCACCTGTACACACCCATGCACACATACACACACCTGCCCTTCAGCCCATACATACGCACACACCCACACCTGCCCTTCCTCAGCCTGTACACACCCCTCCACCCTCTGTCACCCTGTACACACACACACATACACCCTCTGTCAGCCCCCACACACACACACCTGCGCTTCATCAGCCCACACATATGCACACCCCCCCCACAGCCCATACAAAGCGCTCTCCCTCAGCCTGTACACACACGCACACGTGCGTGCGCACACATCCTCAACCCATGCAGAGACATACACATCCCCTCCCACAGGCCACCAGGTCCCGAGGTGGAGCACAATGTGACAGGCCTAAAGCGGAAGCAGAGCAGATCCTGAGCTTGCACACGCAGGGCCAGAGGAGCTCACTTAGTCCAGCTCCCTACCCGCAAAGGCCTCCGATAACTCGCCATCCCTCCCCGTGCATTGATTGCAGCTTGCAATCAAAGTGAGAGGACACAATACATCTGGGGGAAATATGCCTCATAAACCTGAAGGATTTTTAATCCTGAGCGTGCGCGTGGTCCTGACACCACTTTGGCATTCTTGTGCACATAGTCATATCTCTCCATAGACACCTACGTTTTACTCACCTGAGAGTTTACAGTCACTGTGGCCTGAGGTACAAAAGGATACAGGAAGGCTGCCACCAACCTCTCGTCTTCACTTGAAAGAGGACAGACACACAGATTCCAGTATACAAAACAGCTCCTGGCTCTGAGGCTTATAAACTGATGCAATTACTCAGTGCCAGGTATGGGTTGGGGAATCATTTATCTTTGAGATAACCAGTAAGTCAGCTGGTCCATAGCCCAACATCAACACTTCTCAGGCTCTCATACTCTTACTGTTTAGTGCAGTTGACTAAATGCTATAAAGCCAGTCAAGCAGGTTTGCACCATTGCCTGTAAAGAATCATATTTCAAGCCCTGAGACACAGATTGAATGGCTGTACATTCAGTCCTTGGAGTGAAGAAACACCTTGTGTCGTTCTTTAGCAGCTTTGCATATCTGACACCCAGGAGCACTTTAAAGCCAAGAGGAAGTTAAATCCACGAAGAAGGTTCCCCTGACAACAAGGACTTCTAGAAGTAGATGAGAAATCATTTTAACCAGAATTCAGTTCCTGATTGGCTTAACATGAATCTCTTTTAAAATATTTAACATTTATATAACAATTTGACTAGCTTCACTTGCAAAGGATTAAACATTTTCGGGCTTGATTTTGTGAGGCACAGAAAGCAGTGTGCATTTAACTCCACTGAAGCGGAGGCTGTTGACTGTATTTAGCATTTCAAGTACTCAGACAAGCAAGCCTTATTACTGTACTTCTGAAAGCTGATATCAATATTTCCCTTCACTGGCACTCCCACAGCAGGGTAATTTTAGTAGTCAGTTCCAGCAACAAAGAGAAATAGCTGTTACAATCATCATGGATCATATGGCTGTGATAAATCTATGCACAGTGAACAGACAGAAATTATAAGAACCAAAGGGATACCTAAAACTAGAACTCTGGTCTTTTATGTCCCGTATCACAAGTCTCTGCCACATGACTTGAAGAGGAATTCTTAACATAGTATTTGATCTCTT